ATATTAATATTAATATCGGAGGGAATGATAAAAATAAAATGTTTATAAAAAAATTAATATAGTATTTCTTTATTGAATGTTTTTAATACATAGGCTTGGTTTTTCATTATACAATCTAATATATTATTTGCCTTTAACTTTTTATTGACTTCATCAAATCAACATTTTACCTTTGATCATGAGGGTTATGCAGGAAATCTTGCTGATTTTTGGTGTTCTCATTCTGTATCAAAATTGTGGAAGAGAATGCATAGAATGGCTTATGAATTAGATTATCAGGGGCTGATTGATTCACTGAAGCAACTATTTTAGATTTTTTTATTAGTCAATTGGCATAAAATATTGCTTGTTAAATGAACTTTAATCTTTTATTTTGATTACAATAAAACTGAAATTATATCTATACTGAAATCCATCAAGATGAAAAAAAATTTTTTTTCATATAAATTTACCCTCTATACTGAAATTTCATAAAAATGCCTATTATACTGTTTGTTCATTTTACAAGTGTTTTTTATATACTTAATTTACCTCATTACACTGAAATACATGTTGAATTTTTTGATATGATTGGTGTGAAAGAAAATGTAGAAACAAAGCACAAGATAACCAAATTCAATCCACACTTACTAAGTGATTTTTAAAAAATCTGTTAACCTTTTATGTTGACAATTATTGATATTTTATAAATAATAAATTTAAACTTATCTATAACAAAACTTGCAGGTTTTTCCTAATAAATTTAGTATATGCATATACATTATTAGTCAGAGGACATTATGTAACTTCAGGGGGGTCAAGCATCACCACTAATAAAATTTTTGCAATTAACATTGAATTTTATATGAAAAAAATCACTCCTGTATGCACCACAAAGTGATAAAAACTATATATATATGGATAAGTGTATATGAAAAGTAATAGTAATCATAATAGTTCTAATGAATATCAAAAGCAATTGATTTTTTAGAAAGAGGTTGTAAATGTAGTTGCTCTTTGAGAATTCCTAGGAAGAATTTGCAGAATTAAGGGAATCCTTTCAAACTCTTTCTAAAGTAGAACAAGACATATTCTTAATGGCCCAACTTAAGGCAATGGATGGTGGATAGTAGGCACCTTAAAAAAAAACCAGATCTAATAAAAGAACTTTCTACCACTGGGATCACAATACACTCCTTTGTCAAGAAACTTATCTCAATATGTTAGGAATTGGCAGAACTTATTTTGAGAATCTTAGAAATCATTTGATAAACAATGGTATTTTACCAAGAATTCATGGTAATATTAAAAGAATGCCTCAATGAAAAACCAAAATGGTAATTGATAAAAATATTGCTAAAGTAGTAAAGAATTTTCTAGAGAATTATGCAGAAGTCCATGGATTGCCAAGTCCAGGAAGAAGTATCAATAGAATAACTCAATCAATCACATTCTTACCAGCTGAAATGAGTTACAAATCAGTGTATAGAGATTTTCTAGCTGGTCTGGAGGAAGATAGTAATTTGAAATCCTTAAAATATGATGCCTTCAGGAAGTTATGACATCAATTAACACCAGAAATTCAAATTATGAGTCCCAGGACTGACTTATGTGATACTTGTCAACATTTTAGAGATGGTTTACATTACAATGCTTGCCAAGAAGAAGAAGCCAAAGAATTACTTAAAAGATTTAAAGAACATCTGTCTAAGGCCAAATTAGAAAGAAATTATTATAATAAAAATACCAAATTAGCAGAAGAACAAAGAAAATTGATTAATCAAAATTATTCAAATGGTAAAACACAATATTGCAGCATTGATGCTACTGCTCATTATAGTTATGATTGAGCCCAAAATGTTCATGTACCACATTCTGATCAGCAAGTAAGTAAAATTTATTACCTTAGTCCATGTAAAGTTCATTTATTTGGTATTCAAGATGAAGCAGTAAGGGAACAAATTAATTATGTTCTTAATGAAGATGAAATTATAGGAAAAGGTCCTAATGGTACACTTAGCATGATTTTTGATGGAATTAAGAAATTGAATAGAGGTGAAAAGCATTTAAAGATTACTTGTGATAATGCTGGCGGACAGAATAAAAATAACACCACTATTTGATTTTATTTATATTTAGTAATTTGCGGTTATTACAAAAGCATTGAATTAAATTTCATGGTTCCTGGACATACCAAATTCAAATGTGATGGTAGTTTTGGTTTAATAAAAAAACTCTACAGAAAAACCAGAGTAGATTGTCTAGATCATGTGGTTGAGGTAATAAAAAAATCTAGTCCAGCAGGATTAAATAAAGCTCAATGTTATGAAGGTGGAAAAGGTTTTCAATTCTTAGATATTAAAGCAATTTTGGGAATTTATTTTAAGAAACTAAATGGTTTACAAAAGTATCAACATTTTCTTTTTGAAGCATCTAATCTTGGTGTAGTCAAAACTCAGGAAGTGGCTAATGGAACTTTTATTGAATTCAATTTATTGAAAACCAAGAAAGCAGATATTTTTGAAGAAATTAAAGCTTTATCTATTTTAGTGTTAACACCACCTCCTTTGGATTACAAAAGGCAAGAATATCTTTATCATAATATTCGTCCGTTTGTTAGAGATAAATTCAAAGATATTACTTGCCCAAGACCATTCTATACTGGCAACAAATAAAATATTCAGAACAAAATCACCTTCATTATTTCATCACTTCTTTGCCGTTATCAAGTTTAATAAGTTTAATCTTTTGACAAATATTGTTAGCTTTTTTCCACATTTAAAGTAAAAAGGTACTAAAATAATTATATACTTAACATACCTTAAGGATATAAGTATATTAAAAGAATAAATAAAAAAAAGGAACAAACAAGAAAATCATGACAAACATCATAAATGAACAACAACAAGCAAACAAAACACTAATTAATGAAATAGAATTATTGAAGAAACAATTAGCTGAAAACAAAGAAAACTTTAAGTTAAGAACTTGAAATGCTGTTCACAGCCTTACTGAAAGTTCAGAATATACTGGAACAAGTTTA